GAAAAACTGGACATAGATGGGGGAGAGTCCAGGTAATCCGGTTGTAATCTGGCCCAGCCATCAGCTCAGCAATGGGCGACCAGTCCGCATTTATCCGACGAGCGCTGCATTCTCAAAAAGCGGTTCTTTAGGTCTTCCAACTGCCGTACTCTAAGGTCAGCGCAAATATCGGATAGGCCCACTGCTTCAAACCCGTCCGAGACAAGCTGTGATGTGTGACACTGACCTCGAAAATTCATTGTACAGTTTAAATGCATTGAATATGCATAGTATACGATTCGAATAAAGTACGTGCGCTTTTCGATTCGAAGTTGTTCTAGTTCGGGGATTGGAGCACCATTTCGAATACTATTCTCAATACTAGATTTGGTGTCGCGGCTGGTCTACTGAACAATGAATTCTACTCCACTAGAATCCCTAGATCTTAACTGCAGTGCACGCGATATCCAGGATTATTTTGAACGTTTTGAGATTTGGTGGTTGACTCGTTCAAAGCCCGATAAGTACAAGAAATCCGCTTTCTTTTTGAATGCTGCCGGTAAAAATGCTAAAACACTATAAGAAACTTGGCTTATCCTTCTTCATCTGTTTCTGTACCGTACGAGGATTTAAAATCCCTCCTCCTACAGCATGTGAAGTCAACAAGCTTTGAAGCCTCAGAGAGAGCAAACTTTCATTCAGTGGTACGCAATCCGAATCAGGGCATCCGTTAATTCACCTTGGACTTGCTCACTCAACTGCAAAGTGTGATTTTGGAGACTTACTGGACATGCAGTTGAAACATCGGCTGATCGCTGGCATTAAAAATACTGTTTTGAAAAATGGACTTCTAAAGCTATCCAATCCGACGTTCAAAGATGTGCGGGCCCATTGTGAACAATATCAGGACGTTCGCGCCGCAACTTCATCCATGCCGTCGACTATCGAATCTACAGCCATGTTCAATTCACTCAAAACCAAATCCACGAAAGTTCATACCACAGCCGGACGTTTCAAACCAGTTACACAATCTACCTCAGACAATGTAACATATTCGGATAAATCCTATGGCAATTGTGCATCCTGTGGCAAACGTCATTCCAGATTCACATGTCGATTTCGTTATGCTTCATGTCACAAGTGTGGCAAAACCGGCCATTTTCAGTCTGTGTCGCAGTACCAACTTGTCGCTTAATTCAATCCAAGGACTCAGAAGTGAGTGACATAGACGAACATTTTTTTTCTTTATCTTGGGCGATTACCTCCCATTCCAGTCACATTCGTAAACAACTATTCAGTTCTACTGGCAATTCACTTCGTTTCATTTTGGACACTGGTAGTGTGGAATCCCTAATTTCTGCCCATGATTTAAAACGGTTTGTTCCAGATGCTAAACTGCAGCCGTCCACTGTCACCATAAATGGCATCACTGGACACTCATCACCTGTTGTTGGTTCTTGTGAGATCTCAGCATTGATGAGCATTCTAAAAGTGTCACCTGTAAATTCATCGTAACGAAGTCTGGACCCTCCATACTAGGCTTGAAAGCTATGCAAGCATTAAATGTCAATCTTTCCTTGCTAACCTCTATGGATACTGAAAGATTTGATTAATAAATGTTCAAAGGCCTGTGGTGGCATGAAAATTCCCCCCAGTGAAACGACCAGTTAATGGCGATCCAGTATTTCTCAAACGCCGAGTCATTCCATATGGCCTTCGCGAACCTGTCATGAATGCGTTGAAAAATTTGTGTTCCAAAGGTGTTATAGAGAAGGTGGCGTCTTCAGCATGGGGTGCACCAGTCGTCACACCACTCAAATCGGATGGCAAAATCCCCAGAATATGTGGCGACTACCGAACTTCCCCAAATCCAAGACTTTTAAAGCAGACATTTACAGCTGTTGAACTAGAGGACATTCTGAAGAAGCTAACTGGTTCCAAGGTCTTTTCCAAAATTGACTTAAAAGATGCAGATTTACTAATCCCGTTGGACGAAACCTCATCCACTTTGACAACTATTATTACCCCTTTTGGTTTGTACAGATACACGTTTCTGCTGTTCTGTTTATCCATTTCTCCTGTCGTGTTTCAACAAGTTATGAATGATATTATTGACGGTATGTCTGGTGTTGAAGTATATCAAGATGACATTATTTTTCATGTTCTTGACAAATCCACTCAGGACGCACGATTACTTGAACTCTTTCGTAGGTTTTCTGATAAGAATGTTGCTTTTAATTCTCAGAAGTATTTACTTTCTGTCTCTCATTTTGAATGTCTTGGATAATTAGTTGATGATAAAGGCTACAAACCTGACCCGAACCGTCTATTTCCTTTAACAAAACCCAAATCACCGTCGAACATACACGAACTCAGATCATTGATTGGAGCACTACAGTATTACTCTAGATTTATCCTTAATTTCAGTTAGATAGCTTCAACCCTATTTCTTCTCTCTTCTGAAAAATTTGTTTGGACTGATGTTAATGAACATTGCTTACGTGAATTGCTAAATTTTCTGCAGACTAATGCTGTACTTCATCCATTCAATCCCAAAATTCATCCCACTGTTATTACTGATGCATCACTGGATGGAATTGGTGCGATTCTTGAACAGAATGGGCATCCAATTATTTGTGTCTCGCCGGTTAACAGCAGCTGAACGAGGCTAGGCTCAAACTCATCACGAAGCCTTAGCTGTATATTGGGCAGTCAAGCGCCTCCACAAGTTCCTTTTCGGTCATCATTTCACCGTCGTTATCGATCATGA